CTCCACTCTTTTTTTTTCTACCAGTCTCTGGAGAATTCATAGCAATCAAATTACTTTTCTTGTTAATCAAAGGATCCATTTAAATACTGCTGTGTATTGAACTAGAGCATAAAATTCAACTACTGAATGATGATGTTCAAGCATCCAGGACTTCATAAGGATATTATACTTCTATAGTCCAGAAATAAATTGGTTTCATAGCCCTGTTTAATTCCTGCACATAGTTTTATTACTTATTGTAATATAACACAAATACCAAACAACAAAAGGAAGAACTGGGACTGGGGTAAGATAAATAAACTAGAACAAATTCACTTTTCTTATAATTTGAAAAAATGTGAATGGAAAAGTTGTAGTTTTGTATTAATATTGGAAAAAATCCAAAAATCAAGTCCAAGTAGATCCTTCTTAAAGGAAAAAGGTATAGACATATTAAAATTGTTTGGTTGTACTGGTGAGATACAATTTTTGATAAGCACATATGTACTTTGTATTATTGTTTCAATTGAAGAAAGCTACCTATTTGATTTTAGAGATCCAATTATTTTTACAACATAGATATACAGCAAGAATGAATTCTAGCTTTTAAAACATCACAGAATGTATCATTCATAAAATACTAATGTCTCCACACTACCAAATCATGCCACTCTATGATTGAGGGAAAAAATAAGGATGATCCTATTGAGGTTAACTTTTTAGTTTTTATTTATTTTTTTCTGAATTACCAACTCCATGCCAAGTACGTACTGTACCATGGAGCCACTCACCGATTCTATATCTCCAGCTAAGTGATAGAGACGTTATAGTTTCTTACCCATACATGTGAAAATATATTCTCTCAACAGGAATGTTCATGTAAATAGGCTCTTCATCCCAGTTTGTAAACATTGCATAAGAATGGACTGATAGCACACACTTGTTTTTCTGGGTATACTAGTTGAATATTTAAGAATGTTTTGAGGAAACATCCATCTATCATTATAAGTATAAAGAGAAGTAGTTCCAGGCTAAAAGTTGAATCATTATCCGAAAATTGAATTTAGCTTCAATTACAGTAACAGTTTTTTATTTTCTGTCCAGGTGCTTGAGCTCAGGGCCTAGGTGTCATACTGGGCTTTTTTGCTCAAGGCTAGTGCTCTACCACTTAGCTACAGCACTGCTTCTGTTTCTCTGGTGGTTAATTGGAGATAAGAGTCACAGGAGTTTCCTCTCCAGGCTAGCTTTGAACCATGTTCCTCAAAGCTCACCCTCCTGAGTAGCTACAATTACAGGTGTGAACCACTATCACCCAACAACAATAACTTTTTAAACACATAATTTTACATCAACAATATGGGCATTTTTTTTTCTTAGTATTCTATGGTTTTTCTCCACAAATGTCTGTCTGAGGCACATTTCACTTGAGTAACATTTTTATAACAAAGAACTCAAGATGTTTTACTACATACTGAGGATGTTTGTACTTTCTGAGAGTTAAAAAAGATGAATATACTCCATTGTTGATTTTGAAGACTTTTATATGAATCTAACAAACTAAGCATTCAGCCAATCTGATCTGGAAATGAAAAAGAAAAGAGACTACGTTTAATGTACTTGTGTGTCCTACTGACTTTGACTCATATTAACCTACAGTCAAATTTCTCCATATCTACCACTTACTTTTGTGTCATGAGAGACATACTAAGCTGTAAAATAGGAAGGAATATGAACAAAGCAGTTGTATTTCCAAAGGAATCCATGAAAGTAAATAAATTAATCAGTAATGCTTAGACTCACTGCCACATTACTCTCTGTGATTTTGTTTTCTTATTTTAGATAACATCTGATTAACTCATGCAAATGTAATCTTTGGCACCCAAGAGGCTGAGATATGATTCCTGCCCAAGCAGGAAATTTGTGATACTCATCTCCAATTAATCCCCAAAAAGCCAGAAAAATGGAACTGTGGCTCAAGTAGTATAGCAGTAGCTTTGAGCACAAGAGCTCAGGAACAGCAGGCAATGCCTGAGAGTAAGTCTAGGGATTGGCACAAAAACTAAGTTGTATTTTTCATGATAATTTTGGTTATATACTAGTGCTGAGAGAATGATGATGCCAATGAGTTTTGAAAATCATGTGAAACAGTTACCAACTTCAGGATTTGTCTTGTTTTGTTTGTTCTTTCTACAAAGCTGTAATTGTTGGGAAAACATAAAGGTGTTACATATAAGAATAAATATAGAATGATTCCTCTAAAAGTAAACATCTCTTAATTATTATTGTTATCCAGTTATCCATTTAGAATTTGCTTAATTACATTGTTTTAATAAAGCTATGCTAGAGTTGTTCTTATTCTTCTAATAGTAAATTGTAAATGTTTGATTGCTTAAATTCGCTAATTGGCTGGTTACTGCTTATCAATTAAGGTTATGAAGAATGTTAAAATTCCCGCTACCACGACTCTTGTCTGTCAAATTGCATGTATAATAAAAGGTTTTTAAATCTACATTAGTTACTGATTAATAGTGTACATATTTTTATGTATTGCTCAGTAGAGCCATTTATGTTAAATTTATCAAAAAATTATTTTTATGTGACCAGGTTAAGAGACACAATTTTTTAAATTATTATAAAATAAGTTAATTTTCTGTAAACATGATCACCTAAATTAGGAATTTTTTATGTGACCAGGGTAAGAGACACATTTTTTTAATTATTATAAAATAAGTTAATTTTCTGTAAACATGCTCACCTAAAACCACACACACACACACACACACACACACACACACACACACACAAAACTAACTCACTTGTTTTCCACAGCAAACATATTCTAGAGAAAGATCCCAGAGCCGATACACTTCGTAAATCCATGATCTACTTTAACAATGAGAGAGTCAGTCCTTTTTGCTAGACTCCTGGGGAAACCAGTATGTTTAATAAATCCCTCTGAGGGCTCATAAATATATGTTTCACATCTCCTTTTAAAAACATAAAAATGATTGCCATGAATTTTACTGGAGGCAAAAAGAAGGATAACATATATATATATATATATATATATATATATATATATATATATATATATATATACATATATATATACACATCTGTATGTGTGTATATATTCAGAATTTAATTGTATCTACATATCTTTAAATCAGTCACATGTGAGCTAGAACTGGTAGCTTTAGAAGGTAGTGTTAAGAACACATTGCTTTTTCATACTTTAATAACGTATGTAGCAGTTCATATAAAATGTGTAACTTAACTGAAATCATATTATCCTGATCATGACAGAAGCAATAACAGATAATTTGAGTTGATTAGAATATGTAGAAATGTACCTAATTACAGTAAGAAGAAAAACCATTCTGAGAGCTCTATAACTTTCTCTCCTATAAAGAACGCTTTTTTGTCAGTTTTGTATTTTTTATTTACATTTTATATTTTGTACATAGTGGTAGGGGTCAGCCATTTTTAATGATCTCAGATGATGACCAAACCAACCTTCAGAGCATTCTGACCTACTTCTGACTACTTCTGGTGTGATAATGTTCATTATAATCTCAGAGGAGAAAAAAATACTTGTAAATAACCACAACAACCATCTTATTCTGAACATTCCACTAACATTTTTGTGTATATGGTTACCTGGACTATAAAGTAGTTGATTTGAATGAGATGGCTAAAATGGCCAAACATAAAAAGGTTTCTTTTTTCCAATTTTATTTTTTATTTTTTGCTTGTTTGATGTATGTGTGATTCAGTGTTATCCAACAATAAACTGGAATTTCATTTTGCTGAGTTTCTCTAAAAAATAAAGCGATGAAATGTTACTGTATCTTTCAGGTTGGCCTTGAGGTCAGCTTTCAAGTGCTGCATTTGCAGGTTCCAGCACCTGTCTATGTGAATGCTTATTTTTGAAAAAGGTCTGAAAAGCTAGATGTATAAAGAAGTTTATAAAATCTATTAAAAAAATTCATCAATAAGAAGCAAAAAAAGAAAGCCACTTCAGAAATGATACCCAAGAGATCATAAGCAATGAGAAACACTTCACCTCAAATACTTGTATGGTAAAGTCTATTAAACTGTACACTTCTTCCATGTCTTTACTTAAATGTCACTAGCTTGTGAAATCTATCTAAATATATTTTTCCTCTACATTTATAGATAGGAAATGATTCATAGGTGAAGTATTGCCACCAATTACTTTGATCTCCTTGCATTTATGTTGTGTTGATGAGTTAAAACTATGCCTATGTCAGGAATATGGGTAAGCAGGAAGAATGGCACTATCTAAAAAAAAAAAAATGCTAAAAGATTAGTGCTTTGGCTCAGTGGTAGAGCCCTGCCTAATAAATGTGAGTCCTTGAGTAGAAATCCCATTACCACTCAAAAAATATCTGTTATATAAAATGCAAACTATGTATCAAGTAGAATATCATTAACTCTAGCTACAGGTAATTGTCTTCATTCCTATTTCAGAGTGTGCCTTCCAATCTTCCAGTATTTTATATATCATTTGGCTCTGGTTGAGTACCTAAGATAGGTAGCTTATCCTTCTTTGTGATTTGCATTCTGTTGTTGACTGTGGTTGTGGTAGCTGTGGTGGTGCTGTGGGTTGAAATAAGGACTTCCCGCTTGTAACACAGGAACTCTACCACTTAGGATGTTAGTTTAACTTTCTGGAACTCCTCAAAGTTGTCAACATCTACTTTTGGGGAAACAGTTTGGCCAAATTCTTACCACCAATTCTTTGGGTTGGAGTTCTAGTTCTACTACATATCTGTTGAGAGATATTGGGATTATCTCAGTGTAGTTTCTATACATACTTTTCTCACCTGTACATGGCAGTATTGGTAATACATACAACATTACTTATTGTGAGAAGCAACAAGATACTGAAGGCTTATTCCTATTCCAACAAAATAGTTACTAAAACACTAGCTATGTCAGAAATGTGTGGATATGTGTGCCACATGCAGAACACATTTACCAATTTTCTGCTCTAGATTCCACATTCCCAAAGAAGAAATGTTGATTGAAACATCAAGGCAGGTGCAGCAAAATGCAAACATCATGAAGGAATTGGAAATTATATAATGAGTAAGACTAAAATAAAATCAAAATTATAGTACATTGTTTGTATTTATACCTGCATGTCAGGATGCTTTGCTGCCATTTCTGCATTCATGGAGACAGTTTTGCAGGAAGCACATTGAAAAAAACATCCATGTTCAAGGATAATCCTTAGTCGGGCTCAGCAAGAAGGCAGCCTTCTCACCCAGTTTGTCCCTTAATTGCTTTGCCTTTTTGTTATAAAGTGGTTCGGTAGGGACAGTGCAGTGAGCAGGTTTTGTTTCTCTGTTGTTACTCTAGCACCACCCTGAAGGACATTTGCAAAACTTATGAAGATTCAAGGTTCTTCTCATGCTGACCACTGCCCCAGAGATACTTCACTGAGGCCTTAACTTCCAGATAGTGCAGCCTCTCTCTCCCTCTCTCTCTCTCGCTCTCGCTCTCGCTCTCTCGTTCTCTCTCTGTCTCTGTCTCTCTGTCTCTCTCACACACACCACACACACACACACACACACACACACACACACACACACACAGCTGGTGATCAACTTCAAAACACAGATTCACAGACCTCACCACCAATAAAACATCTTCAGAATTAAATTCAGAATTGAAGAATGTCCAGATGTGGTTTGGGGTAGTGTGTGTGTGTGTGTGTGTGTGTGTGTGTGTGTGTGTGTGTGTGTGTGTGTGTGTGTACTGGTACTGGCACTTTAATTCCTCACACTCTTGCTCAGCTTTTGTGCTCACCATTGGTGTTGGTGTTCTATCACCTGAGCCACACCTCCACCCCAGCTTTTTGCTGGTAAATTGGAGATAGTACCTCTCAGGCTTTCCTTCCCAGAGTAGTTTTGAACTGTGATCCTATAGGCTTCAGACGCATAAATAGAATCACAGGTGTAAGCCTATCTTACCACCAAACTGCTGAAAAGGGCCTCCCAAGCTTCCAATGGGGTGTGGGTATCTATTCTAGGTGGCTGATGGAGGTGGGGGGCATAGCCGGCTGGGACCCAAGGGCAAGTGCTTGGGAGGCTTCGCCGCCCCTCCTCCCTTCCTTGGAACCTCCAGAACCTGCAGCCCACCTTGTGGCCCCTGGCCCCTGCCCCATGCACATAGGCCCAGGCTCCTGGCAGTCCCAGACTTGGTCTTCGGAGGCTGGTCTCCTTCTCAGACGCGGATCCCAGTCTCCCAAAGGACAGCTTGGGTGGTTTGTCCGACCCAGGCCCTTTCCCTTCAGGACTCAGCAATCCGACCTGGGCGATTCTGGGCAAGGACCTAAGAAGAGTTCGGCACCAACCACATCCCTGGACCCTTCCCAGGCGACCCAGCCCCTTTCCACAAGTACCACACGAGTCCCGTGGCACCTTTCCCTCATCCCCTCCACTCCTGGAGACCTCCTTGCAGCGCCTCTCCTCTGAGTGGGCTGCAGGAACCCTCACTCAACGCAGGGCCAGGCCCCTAGGAACCCCTGGTTTCGGTGCAGCTCAGCTCCTGCAGGTGCAGGCCACTGCTAGCTCCACGGCCCAGAGCCAGCGCTCATGGGAGCGGTCTGGTGGTGGGTAGGGAGCCACGCTGCGAAGCCCCCACCCACAGCCGCCACCCTGCCCGGCTCCGGGCCAGGGGCGCAGGGAGCTTTGGCTGATGGTCCTGCCTTGGCCCGCGCCGCTACTCGCTTGCTCCAAGGCCCACCCGGCCTCCTCTTTCTGCTACCGGCCTCCTGCTCCCTGCCCGTCTTTCTTTCTTCACCTCTTCTTCCTCCTGGGTCACTGAAATGATACACACACACACAGACACACACACACACACACACACACACACACACACACACACACACACACACACACACACACACACACACACACACACACACCGCCTTCCTATGTGCTGCGGGCCCTGGCAGCTGCCCATCCTGCCACTGGGAAGGGCCACCGCCCCCTTCGCACTGCTCCCGGTTCTTGCTGTGGGATTCCTGCCCAGGGGAGTCACTGGCAGGGTTGCCACTGTCAGGGAGACACTTCCCTTCAGACAGGTTTCTCTGCGCCCCCTGGGAGGTGGCTTTGCTGTGTCCACCACACCTGGGTCTGAACTGGGCTGTTAACCTTCACAGTGTGCCCCTGGCTGCCGACCTAGTGTGCAGCTGATCGCTCAGGCTGGGCACACCATGGCTAGGGTAAGAAGCCATTGCTGCCCAGTGCTTTAAGATCCAGGTGTGGAGAGCCAGACACCCTAGCCCCTGGCCCTACAGAATGGGTTGCCAGAGCCAGAGGCCACACTGCACACAGGGGACCCCGGAGGCCTCCCAATTCCTCCTTCCTGCTTACCACAGCTGTGACCCTGTCTCAGCAGTCCCTGCAGTAGGCCAAGCAAGATGCCTAGGGTCAATTGGGTGACCCCCACAAATCCTTTGAAGCAGGAGGGGTGTCCAAGAGGCCTACTGCCAGAGGGGCTCCAGGAGAGGCAGATGCCACTGAGGGGGTCTCAGGGGAAGGTATTAAGGCTCCCATTCAATCCCAGCCCGAAGATGGGACCCCTTCTTACATCAAGACTGGCTTCCACTGACATTGAATGAGTTCAGCAGCAGCATCTTCCTCAGCCTGAGGACCGCCAAGACATGAAGCCCCAAGCAGCCCACTGACCCTGCCAGTGACCACAGAGTAGCTGACAAGAATTCTAGAGCAAGGGAAAAGAAAAGAAAGGAGGGTGGGAGGGGAGGGATGGGTAAGGGAGGAACGAAGAAAGGTGGGAAGGGGAGGGAATGGATGGGGAGAGAAGGGGGTCAGAGGGAGTATTGAGGGAAAGAGGGAAGGAAGAAGAAGGGAGGGAAGGAATGGTGAAGAAAACGGGGACAGGAAGAGGGAGGAAAAAAGAAAGAAGAAAGAAGAAATTCTTTAACTTACAAGTTTTTGAGTTCACAATGGTATGAGAGCAAAATGCTCTCAGTAAGAATCCTGCCCATACTCTTTTTCTTTATAGTGTAGTAGACAATAAATTACATAAGCTATCCAACATTTTATTCTAAAATAGACCTTCTCTTAGTAAATTTTCCCAATTATAAGTGTTGTGAGCATGGTTAAGGCAGACTACATTAAACTTTGGTATGTTCGCTATCTCAAGTGCATTTGACTTACAATATTCTCAGAAGAGAGGAGGAGAAGGGAAGGAAGGAAGAGAGGGTGTAAGAGGAAAGGGGAAGAAAGAGGAGGGAGGTGGGTGGGGAGGACAGGATGGGAAAAAAGAAAGTTAAGATAAAGAAGGAAAAATTGTAGGAGGGTTGCGAGAATGTATTGAGAGTCTTGGGAGTCCAGAGCATAGATCTGGACAGCTGTGGGTCAGGTGGCAGCAAGGGAGGGTGGGTGGCGCTGCAGCCTCTGTCCCCGTGGCCCCATAGACTGGAAAACTGTGGCAGCGGGGGCGGGGTGTGTAGCTTGGGCAAGCCTTCTAGGTGGCTCCCATGAGTCTGGGTGACAATACAAGGAGAGCTGGGCAGGTAAGGAGTGAGAAGTGTCTTTTCTGCTGTTCAGTTTCCTCCTCTGTAAAGTGAGGGCCTGGCCCTAGGTGTTGTCTTAAGTTACTGATATCCTTTTGTGAGTTTCACTCTGGGCTGTGATTGAAATACTGGTGAGGCAGCTCCATGCTGGGTTCAAACTCACACACTAATGGTTATTTTCACCTTTCTTTGCCCCTTGTGTTCCATCCAGATTCTGATGGTCCAGCCCAGGCCTAGTGGGGACTTCTGAGATGCTCACCTCTGAGCAGGTTGTGGGTGGGCTGGAAGTGTCATTCAGCTCTGAGTCTGGTCCCAGGTGCCATCCCAGGACTATCTGATCCCTGCTGGTCTCAACTGCCCAGGATGCAGGCCCCTCCTTGCAACTACTCAGTGAAGGGTAGCCTCCACATGGGGCTGTTTTCTGTGTCCTGGTTGAAGGTGGGGTGTGGAATAGCAGCACTAAATGTTCTGTGGCCAGATAGCCCCTTCCCCCATTCTCTAATGTTTTGGTCTTACCATGCTTTGTCCACAAGTCAGGTGAGGAAGCAGTTTGAGTGTATGTATGTATGAGTGTGTGTGTAAATGAGTGAGTGTGTGTGCCTCCATGTCCACCCAGCCTGGAGTTTATGGGGAGGCAGTTGCACTGGCCAGCAGGGGAGGGAGGAAGTCAATGATGCTCAGAAATTCCAGAGAAAGGGGGAAGGTGGAGGGGAGAAGGAATGAGGGAGAAGGAGCCATGCCTGGAGGAAAGAGAGTAGCAGGGCCTCTCCTGGTCACCTCTTACCTTTCCATCCAGGTGCTGAGCTGCTCTTCTAGTCCTGGGACTGTGAGCTGCTTAAAGACCTAGCTCTACCATTGGCAGTTTCTGAGATGGCTCCTGATTAGCCAGTGGGATCTGGGTCAGGCTGGGGGCAAGGGACTCCTGTGGGGAGTTCCTAATCCATAAAACATATAAAAGAGATCAGGATTGGGGTTGGGTGTTCAGATCCCAAAGGAGAGGGGAGCAATTCAGAAAAGAAGAGATGTCCAGGACAGAGACCCTCCACGGGCAAAGCTGCAGATGTGCAGGGCTGAGGTTGAGAGGCAGCTGGGTGAGGGCTTTGCAGGAGGGACTGAGGTAGGACAAGGAATTGCCATGGTTCTGGTTGAGAGCCCTTGGTTGGGGTGGACAGAAGGTGATAGTCTGGGAAAAGAGGATGAATCTGGTATTCTTCATTGTAGGACAGTTAGCTAGCTCTGCTATGGGACAGGCATCTAAGCCCTGAGTCTGGGTTCTGAGGGAGAGGTGGCAGGTAGACACTAGGCCTGCCTGTGTCAGCTGTCTATCTATAGTAACTTACTTTGCTGGGCTGTGCCCACTGCAATATTAGCAGTAAAGGTCCCAGCAGGACCCCCCAGTGTACCAGGAACTGAGCTGAGCAAGGCCAGAACCCCAGCCTCATTGTTACCCAGCTGCTGGATCTGCTGGACATATGAAAACCAGACTAACAGAAGCAGATAAGAAGTACTTCAACTAGGACCCTACCTCTAAGCACCA